GCTCACAACCATCCGTTATGAGATTTGGTGCCCTCTTCTGGTGTGCAGATATACATGGAAGCAGAATGTTGTATATATAATAAATAAAATCTTTAAAATAAAGTTTGTTTAAAAAAAATGGTACTATACCTTCTTTCCACATTGTGTTCCAAGCACCTGACCTCAAGATATGGGGACTGTTTCGGAGGGCCCATGAATTGCTTATTTGGTGTTCAAATGTGTTACCTTCACATCCACATGTTCAAATCCTAACCCCAGCACCTCAGAAAGTGACTCAGTTTGGAATAGGGCCACTGTAACAAGAGTTTGTAAGATGAGGTCATTGGAGTGGACCCTGATACAAGATAGCTGCTATCCTTCTGAAAAGGAGGCATTTGCACGTCACATGCATTCATATACACGCAGACAGAGATCTACAGGCCAAAGAGCCTCCAGCAATAGAAGCTGCCACTGTATGTCTCAGGGAGAATCCTTTTCGTGGCTGTTACAGCTGTCTTTTAGGGTGGCCCCGGGAATGCACTGCATTTGGCCATGGAGGCAAGTGCCTCCTAGGGTACTCAGGAAGCTGAGGCAGGAGCATGACTCCAATTAGAAACAGCAGAGACTCAGGACAGGTTAGAGTGCAGCTGGCTGTAGACAGGCCTAGACAGGTGGCTGTGAGGACAGGAGTGACTAGACCCAGGGATCCAGTAACAGCACAAGGGCAGAGCAAGGTGCTGCCACTCACTGGACTTGATCAAGGCAATGACAAAGGGATTTGCACACCAAAGGCTACGGTTGTGTTCCTTCTGTCAGACCCCAGTGCCACACAGCTATCATCCTGACAGTAGCTTCCCACTTCCCTTCCACTGTCATAGTTCCCATATGCTGAGGGCCTAGAGGCAGCCTTAATAGAACTAAGGATCCCTTACATGCCCAGGCCACAGCTAAATGCACACCAACAATCTGTTACTTACAAAAGCCCCTGGAAAGAACTGTTACCAGCCCTTCTGAACAGTAGCCCGTTGGTATACAGCCCTGTTGACACACTAGCTCACCAAGGGCAGCCCCAATTTGCAGAAGGAGAATGGAGTTCACTAAGGTGTCTCCACAGGCCACCTCAAGGAAGAGTGGCAGTCTGGCCCATACTGTGCAACCTAAGGGGTGCATGGCTCCAGCTTCAGACTTCAGCAGCTCTACCAGTCCTTAACTTTTGGTAACAAGTGTTGTGGGATATTTGTACACTGTGGAAAAACATATTGCTCTGATTGCTGTAATATAAAGCTGAATAGCCAATAGCTAGGCAGGCTGTAGAGGCGGAACTTCCAAGTAGGAAGAAGAGCAGAGTCGCCAGCAAGAAGCCAAGGAAGCAGCATGGGCAGTATAGGGAGATGAGGTAATGCCACATGACAGAATGTAGATTAAAATAAATGGGTTAATTTAAGTTTTAAAAGCTAGTGGAGCAAGCCCAACCTAAGGCTTAATTAATAATAAGTCTCCATGTCATTATTTGTGAGCTGGCAGCCCAAAGAAAAATCTGACTACAAACAAGGTATCGTTAGCCAGTGTGAACATTGAGTTTAACTTAGGCCATCTTGAGGTGAGAAGCCTTCACTTAAGCTTTACCAAGAACCTTGCATCAACAGAATAAGGATGAGTTGATACCTTTGAAACCATATGCAAAATAAATGCATCCTCCTTTAACCCTAGAACTTTCTCATCAGACCTGAGCCAGAGCCAGGTGTGGTGGTGCTCGCCTTTGGTCCCAGCATTCAGGAGGCAGAGGCAGGCAGATCTCTGTGAGTTTGCAGCCAGCAGGGTCTACAGAGCGAGTTCCAAGACAGGCAGGGATACAGAGACCCTGTCTTCAAAACAAAACAAAAACAGAACTGAGTCAGAAGCCAGCAGCCCCAAAACAAAGCACAGTTTGGATTATGGGGGAGCTGGCTTGGAATTTTAATCAATTAGCTGTTACTGGCTGTGTTGGCTGCCTCAAAATTCGTTTCAGCACCTGTAATGGGATGTACTCACTGTTTGCAAGGAAGTGAAAGACTAAAATAACCCTCAATGAATCCACAGTCAACATCTCAGTTTCTCCTCATCTAGCTGAAAGCCCACATTGCTAATGAGAACCCTTTCCACTCTAATTCATGTCCACAGTCTTCTGGATCAACCACCATAATGAACTAACTGGCATTACCTGAGTTTTCTGGAAATACCTCACACAGGGTGAGAGGCTAGGGGAGAGCACACAGCTCCTGTCTGGTCTTGTTCTGATAAACCAACAACCTCTTTAGAGGCTTCCCACTTCTGATCACCCTTCTCCAGGAGCATCAAGCTTAGGTGGTATCTCCCACTAACCCAAACTCTTACCTGCTCTTTGGATGGTGAGGCACTACAATACCCTGCCACTGGTTAGACAGATTCAGAGTGGTCTGTATTTGCAGCCGGGCAGCTGGAATGTCACCTCAAAAGGAGTGGTTCAAGGGCCTAACAGCAGCAAAGTTGTCAGAGGTGCTTCTTCACCCTGTGACTGGGACAGGACTTAAGTCTTCAATCCCCTTCCTCTAAGGGAAGGTGACCCCTGAGACATCCTCCCTGTTAGTGGTCCCATCCCTTTTACCCCCATCAGTTATCTACCAGGCTGGCTGACAGGCTCTGGGAAGGTCTTTCATGCTAACTTGGTGACTTTCCTGTGACTGCTTAGCAGCTGGAAGCAGACTGGTAACTTGACTCCCTTTCCAAACTGTCAAGGAAGCGGTGCCATCAGCCTCATTAAAATTGATGTCAGCACAAACTGACAGGGCGGGAGAAAGCAGGTCATAGAAAAGGGCAGTGTTTAGTGTTCTGTCCAGCCCTCATGATGCTAGGGTTGTGTAGCTCAACAGAGACGGCAGAGAGCAGGCTGTACGGTGCTTAGAAGCCTGAATGTGGACTGGACTGACAGCTAGCTGTGGGCATGCCTGTGCACACAGTCAGTGCTTGCTGGATAAGCCTGAAGACTGCACACTGTTATGTATGTTCTGGGACTCCTCTGGAAGACAATAGTTCCTAAGTATCATCACTACTGTGGCTGGATTCCTGTAGCAGAATGAACTAAAGGCAAGTTTGTAGCAGGCCTTTTACCTAGGACTTCACAACAGGCCTCAGCTGTTTCTTCACCTCTCCTGGCATTTTACTCAGGTATACCCATTGTTAGAGCACCACTGGGCCACTGGAGCCAGCCAGACCTGGCTCTGCACTCCAGGACAGCTTCCACCCAGCATTTTTTTTTCTCCAACAGCTGAAGTTAACCCACTCAGTGAAGTCCTTCATTTGGGCAACACGTGTAGAAATACAGCCAGCTCCATGACTGCGCCACCATAAAACTTGCTTCCTGGAACTAACATTCCTCAGTCAAGGGCAGCTGAGCCTTGAGCCCCATCCAAAAGACTGAATGATGTTAGATGCTTCTGGTAAACCCAGTTTTAAAAGAAAACCAAGTTAGAAACCAAACCCAAGCATCTGAAGGGCCATAATACAGAGGCTGAAGCCAGCACCATAGTGAATACAGGAGAGTCTTGACCAGTCATGTCTTCTAACAGAAGGATCAGTTTTATCTCTAGCTCACGTCTCACTCCCTCTATTCTAATTCCCTAGTCAAATCTGCCTTAGACTTGTCTCAATACTGTCCCACATCTGATCTGTTTGCTGTGGCCCTGCTAAGGAACCGGACATATCCTAGACAATTGTCAAGTTTTTTTTTAAAGATGTGAGCCACCGACTTGAATAGATTTTTTTTTTTAAGATTTTATTTATTTATTATGTATACAACATTCTGCTTCCATGTATATCTGCCCACCAGAAGAGGGCAGCAGATCTCATAACGGATGGGTTGTGAGCCACCATGTAGTTGCTGGGAATTGAACTCAGGACCTCTGGAAGAGCAGTCAGTGCTTTTAACCTCTGAGCCATCTCTCCAGCCAGACAATTGTCAGTCAAGTTCTATGAACTTCTAAAAGAATCATCTAAAGTTACTGTTTTTGCTATTTGACAAGGTATGCATAATGTCTCTGAATGTATGGGAGTGAGGATAGGGGGCTTGTGAGGATAGGGGGCCAGAAAAGGGCAAACAATACCTTGGGCTGAAGTCCTAGGCACATTGTAGAAATCCCTACTTGAGTTAGTGTTAGGATTCTGACCAGTTCTGGCCCTCATGATTGTACAGCAAATGCTCTTAATTGCTGAGCTCTCTTTATTGCCCCAGACTGCAATAAAGATATCCAGGCTGAAGAAGCCACTGAAAAATACACTGAAGGTTTACTATGCAGAGTATTACCCCTCCCCCAGCCCCCACAAGAAGAGGGACCATTGGCACCTTCCCAGGTAGCTGAGCACAGGACCTACCCCCCCTCCTGCTCAAACACCTGTCTTGCTAACAATCTAGCTCAGGTTATTATATACACGCTCCAGCCTTGCCTTGAAGTCCATTGCTTATCTAAATCCTATCTACCATGTTGAGGCACCTCAAGTCATTTGTAAGCTGATTTTAGAATAAAAGGAACCCCGAGTCAACACATAGTTACGGACTTTCCCCCCAACTCATGGACTGGTTTGCAGAGGGTCAAGATTATTCAATTGCAGTACCATATTTTTCTGGTGTTGGGGCTCTAACCCAGGGCCTTATACCCACTAGGCATGTGCTCTGCCACTATTCCAGATTCCAAAGCCATTTTTAATAAGTTAACTCACTCATTCCCCTGGTCACGATTAACAAGGATTCTAATAGTGATGGTTAAAGATTCTGTATTTCCTCACTACTAATAGACCAAATCAAACCCCCTCCCCCAATCCTGTTCTCCAGAGACATAGCACAAACTACAGTCAGAGCCTAATTTAGAAACGTGAGAGTACAACTAGGCTTTATCAAAGAGTAATACATTTATTTTACTCAGTCTTAGAAAATACTTTTTTTTTTTCTGGCAGTCATCACATAAAATGTCCTAATGTCTTAAAAAAAGAAAGAAAAGCATGAGAAAACAGACCCAAAAATGTTAAGATTTTATTTACAAAGCTTTTCCTTGTTGTACAGAAAGTAAAAATGTTGTTACAATCGCAGTGTAACTGGCAGCCAGGACGGTCAACTCACCAATCACAGCTGTCACGATACAGCAAGAGTCTTACACGGAAACCTAACAACGTTTACAATTTTGTTGGGGTGGCAGTCCCCAGGCTTGGTGGTGGATTACCAAGGGGCTAAACGGAGGAAGGCGGAATGTCTTGGGAACTATTCTTTGGCTCTTTGGGTGGGGGTGTCCTGGGGCTTGTATCACAGCTACCTTTTTAAAACAGCTACCAAATCCATGAGCAGTCCAACCAATACTCAACAGTTCTGTTTCTTGCAGATTGTTTCGGGTCTTAATCATCATCTCCTTCATCATCTGTTTCCCTCTTTCTCTTTTCACCTTTTCCACTTTCTTCCTCCTCTGCAATAAAAAAATTAGCAGTGAGACCATGTAAAGGCATCCCACCTGGGACAGCAAAGAGGTATACTTCACCAAACCAAGCAGGCAAAAGGTACAGCAGTACCTCAACTGACAGTTAATTGAGGGTTTTTTCCTTCCAAATGTTTCTTTTTTTCTTAAGCTTTAGGGTACCAACCTAGCATTTATGAAAATACACAGCAACAGCTGCACCTAGCCAGCCTGTTTCTAAGCCACTGATTCACAAGTGACCTTGGGCAAACCACTTAAAAAGACTGACAATAGGAAGGAAACATTTGAAGTTCTTCTGAGAGGTAAATAAGATAACACAAGGCTTAGCATGAAACAGGGGTGCCGTTAAACTGGACTCTCTAAAGGGTTTGGGTCTGGTGTTCTATGCCTGCTGCACCCATAAAGATGGACCATCAGTGTCAAGAAGACCAGCCAAGGGCACTTCATATGCTCATTGTGACCAAAGTCTAACAGAGCCATAATCTCAGAACTCTGAAAGCCAAAGCAGGAACATTGAGTTTAATTAAGACAAGTTGAACAAGTAAGATCTTGTAAAAAACAGAACAAAAAAACAAAATCCACACCTGACTTAGAAGCATTTTCACCACCACCCCCCCCACACACACACAGGGTTTCTCTGTGTTGCTTTGGAGCCTGTCCTGGAAACTCACTCTGGAGACCAGGCTGGCCTCGAAATCAAGAGGTTCACCTGCCTCTGCTTCCGGGGGGCGGGAGGCGTGCACCACCATCCCCCAGCTTTCATCTAATTTTTTGACTAAGAGAAAAGGAAGCATGTGCACCAGGCCCACCTTCATCCTCATCCTCATCCTCATCCTCTTCATCTTCATCAACTTCTCCATCATGCCCAAACTCTTCATCCTAAACACAGAGAACAGCTTAACATCACTGGATTCTGCTAAGACACACAGCTCAATCAACCAGTAAAGATGAAACCCTGGCAATCTAAGACCACTCAGTGGAACCCACAGATAAAACAGGAGAATCAAAAAAAAGTGAACAACTCTCAAAAGTTGTCCTATGTCTCCATGCAGGTCACGTTATGGGTGTGAACTCTCTCTCTCTCTCTCACACACACACACAAAGAAAATCAGGGTTGATGGCTCACAACTGTTAATCTAGCAATTGGATATGGTGGATTAGGAATTCAAGTCTAGCCTGAGCTACATAACACCCCCCCCCACCAATCCCTCATAAAAAATTAAATGGAAAGAGGGATATACTTTAAAACAGTTATAATAACACATTAGGGTGAAACTGTTATTTTTAGGTCGTTGGCTGCACAGAGATGCTATTTTTTTTTTTTAAATGAGCAAAATTCTGGAGAGATGGCTCAGAAGTTAAGTCTTGTATGTTCATTCAGAAGACCTACATTTGGTTCCCAGCACCACCTGCTAGCTGTAACTCCAGTCCTAGGAATCCAATGCTCTCTCTGACTTCAGAGGGTACCAGGAATGTATGTAATATATAGACATATATGTAAACAACTCATATACACACATTCAGGCACAGCCTGTATTTTTAGTGGTTGTTATCCTAACCACTAAAAAGGGATGGGGTGGACAGGTGGTCAAACATTTAGTCTATCATAAGCTACGAAGTGAGACCTCGGTTCAGTAAGTAAAATAAAATTATCCTTAAAATAGCAATGTTCAGAAGTAAGCAGTTCACCAGGTAAGCTTTAATTAGCATGCAACTTAAAACAGAAACCTCAATAAATGTTTTTAACACTGCAGTACTGGTTTGGACAGATTTTTCTCTGTTTGTGGTGTAGGGCTATAACCCAGGACCCTGTACAAACAATTTTGAAGACACAGTCTTGTTTAGCCTAGGCAGGTCTTGAACTTGAGACCTTCTGCTTCTGCCTCCCAGGTTCTGGGATTGTAGGCATAAAATACTTTACAAAACTCAGCTATCTACTCTTTCAATGTAGAACTTTGGACCACAACTCTACATAATTTCTTTGGTAACTTGAAAGGTAATTCAGACATTAAGTGCTATTATGTATCTAGGCAGCATTGAGTAGGCATATCCCATATTAAGACAAAAGCTGCCATTATCAGCCTTTGCCTGTCTTCCTACCACACCTCTTTGTCTTTACACTAACAGAAGGGAAGAAAACAGTCACATTACCTCCCCACTGACTTCATCTTCATCATCTTCTCCTTCTACATCTTCGTCTTCATCTTCATCCTCTTCTTCATCATCCTCCTCTTCTTCACCATCCTCATCTTCTTCTTCATCTTCATCTTCTCCTTCTGAAATAATCCAAAAGAGAAATTACTAAATCTGGGCATACTTTTAACCCCAGTACTTCAGAGGCAGAGGCAGGTGAATCTCTGGGGCCACACAGAGAAACGCTGTCTCAAAAAACCAAAAGAAAGGAAGAAATTACTGAATAACCTTGATGACCCACAGGGTTTAACTGGAAAAGGTCAAAGTTGGCTTACAATAAGTTGGTAGGCTCTACAAACACTAGGAAAGACTTAGAGCTACCCCCCCTTCTTAATCCCAAAGGAGTATCCTAAAATCAAGAAGTTTCAAATAATAATCTATATTCTTTTGTTTTGAGACAGGGTTTCTTTGTGGCTTTGGAGGCTGTCCAGGAACTAGCTCTTGAGGACTAGGCTGGTCTCGAACTCAGAGATCCACCTGCCTCTGCCTCCTGAGTGCTGGGATTAAAGGTGTGTGCTACAACCGCCCGGCCCATATTCTTACTGAATGAAATCTGCCTCAATTTCTACAGGAAGAGGGCTTTCTACTCCGGCCATGCCTGAAAAATCCAGGAGTTTATGACCAGCCCCAGCTACCCAAGACAGTCTCAACACCTGCTCCTCCAAACAAAAATGACAAGCCACTCTAGGAACAAGTACCTGATAGCAGCTGTGAAGTCAGGAACTCTTTAAGGCTTAAACCCTGGCCACAGAATAGTCTGGGCTCCTGGATCCCCAGTGCTGTCCCCTTCAAAAGCCTCCAGTTCACTGTGGGCTCCTGCCTGCTGTCCTTCCAGTTCCACCTGCCTATCCCCAGACTGACTTTCAGTCCCTACTTCCTTCCTGCCTCCTTCTGTCTCTCTCAGGCACTTGGTGCCTCTTCATTTCAGCACCCTTTGCTTGAGCTCCAGACGATTACAGTCTTGTCTTTTTTAATTTTTCTTTTGCTGTCCTCAAGAAAGAACTAAGGGCCTTCCACAAGTCAAGCAAGCCTTCTACTATTGAGCAACATATCCTCACCCTTGGGCTGTTTTGCTATCACAAGTGGCTAACTAAGGTATATAGCTCAATGGCAGAATGTGGTATTTACAGTGAACTTACAGAACTACAAATAACTTAGGAATAACTGGATATGGACACTTTGAATAGGGTGAACTGACCTACTCGGCTCACTATCCTCTTGTATCCCATTAATTTTGCCTGTCTCCAGCTGCTGCAAACTAACCCCCCTGTATAACTGTAACTAAGGACTTATGTCTTTCCTCCTTTGCTTTCTTGTACGTTTTCAAAAGTGCTAAACCACCACTCCTGGCTTTCAATTTCAAAGACTATCCAGATTCACTCAAAAAATATAAAGACACTTAAGCACATGAAAAACTTTTAATACTTTCATGAATAAAAAAGCAGAACCTAGTTGGGCAGTGGTAGCACACGCCTTTAATCTCAGCACTCAGGAGGCAGAGGCAGACAGATCTCTGTGAGTTCCAGACCAGCCTCATAGCCTCCAAAGCCACACAGAAACCCTGTCTTGAACACCCCCCCCCCCAAGCAGAACCTAAGATAATGTGCCTTGAAGTTTGTGGGCCAGGCACTGAACTAGGAAGGACAGTAAGCAGAGCCAAGGAAGGGATGACAGAACAAGCTCTTCAAGCATACAAAGGACTTGCATGAAGCAGCCACTGAACACTTGGCTCCACAGAAAAATAAAAAAAAAAAACCCTGGGGCTAATAAAGCCATTTGATTTTCAAGGATTTTAGGGTTAAAAGCCCGAAGAGTTTATAGAACGAAACAGGAACACAGGCGCACACACACTGAGCAGAATCACTGCCAGGGCTCTAGAAAGACAGAAGTCAGGTCACAAGATACCCAGTTTACTCACCTTCATCCTCTTCCTCCTTGTCCACACCATCCACCTCGGCATCGGAGTCGGGGGCTTCCTCTACACCATCCACCTCCACATCCGAGTCAGGTGCTTCCTGGTCCTCCCGGTCATAGCCATCCAGATAGGACAACTGGGGCAGGAGCTTAAAGACACTCTCCCGATAATCATTCAAATTAGTGACCTCACAGCCAAACAGATCCAAACTTTTAAGACAATCCAGCTTTTTCTAAAAGAAAGAACCAAAAAACACAATTCCTAAATCAAAAGAACAAGTTACCAAACCACTTTCAAGAGGTAAAAGTCTAAGCTCCATATTAGTTGCTACCCATTCATCCCTGTACACAGGAACACACTATGCTTCTGGCTCCCCTAGAAAACAATGTCTTTTCCCGGTAGCAACAGGAGTCTAAGTGTGATCTAGCTGAAATGTACCCAGGGCCCACCCATGAGCAGCACTGGAGGATGGAGTGAAACCTGGCACGAGGTATGCCAGCCTGGGCAGAAGGGTACCCAAGAGCTTAAATTTCACCAACAGAGAAACCTCACACTCCTTTTGTCTCTTTTAAGATCTTTGGAAGAGGTTAACATTACCAGACTTCTCTAAAGTAAACTTAAGGCATTGTCAAATACAGTATGCTACCTTCTAAAATAGTACAAATAGCCTACTACAGTACAGGTGACTTTCTTACATGTGTGTACACAGACAGATACACATTCAACTTTTATTAATTCTAAAAATTAAAAGTTTGGTCCTCTTACAAAACTAAACAACAACAACAACAAAATCAATATGGGGACAAGGAAGTAGCTCATTTGATAGTTTGCCCAGAGCCATGGATTTGATCCCCAGTACCACGTAAACCAAGTGTGGTAGGGCAGGCCTGTGATCTCAGCACACAGGAGGCTAAACGATCATAAAGTCAAAGTCATTGTCAGCTACATGAGACCCCCCCTACACACACTCAAAAGGCTCTGGATGAAGCAAGTTTTAACAAATCTAACAATGACACTTCACACAACATAGAAGAAACTTGGATCCAAAGAACTTTGTTTCAGGACTGAAGGCATCTCTGTAATTCTCTGCTTTCAAGGTTGGTTTTAAAAGGGGCTAATCTGGCTCAATAACTAATTTTGTAAACTAAAGCTTTGTTTCTAAGACAGGGTCTCTCTATATGGCCCCGACTGGCCCCAAACCAAGTCTGCACCTGTCTCCCAAGTGCTAGGAGCAAAGGCAGGCGCCACAATGCCCAGCTAAAACCAAGTTTTACTGGCACACAACACTCATCTGCTCATCTATCACACACCTCCTCTCAGACTATACTGACAGTTGAGGAGCTATGATACAGACTACTGCCAACCAAGCTTCATGTTTGCATTATCTGACCCTCAAGGAAAGGGCTGTTGACCCTTACAGAAGACTCTTCATCCCCTCACCAGGAAAAGGCTTACATAAGCTTTATTGCCAAGAGTAGTCTCTGGAACACAGAACCAGGGAAAACCCAGCAACAGGGTTATAGACAGATGTCATACCCACAATCGAACACACAATGTACAATGCTTTAAGAGTGCTTACGAAAGCCAGCTCTCAGATGTCTCGGGAAGGCAGGCTCAGCCCTGCCAGTTCTAGGGGTGGCTGATTTTCTAGCAGGCGACTTTCAGATTAGGTTTCCTACTGGGCAGGCCATGACCTTAGAAACCCAGGTATGATTTCTTGCCAAAGAGGAAAAAATGCTGTAACAGCATCCCAAATAACCAGCACAGGTTGTTTACTAGCTTTCTTTTTGGAGACAGAGCCTTTTTATATTGCCCAGGTTGTCCTAAAACTCCCGACCCCCCTCCCCCGTCAATCTCAATCTTAAGATCTAAGAGTTCTATACCATACCTGGCTATAGTAAGAGCCGACTCTATTCCAAGTAAGACATAAAAGGAAAATCAATTTACACAGCTTCCTACAAAAGTTTACTCTAATGTGCTCCTCCCTTTTCTGAAGTGTATGTCTCACCACGAAGCCTTTGTCTCAGTCCTCTTGCTTTGGCCCCTCGGGTAGCTGGGACGACGTTATACATCACGATCCCTGGATTGCCTAAAATTATTTACCCAGTGGAGTGGGCCACTGGTGAAACTACTTTACAGGGCCACCGAGGAAATCCTGTTTCTGAACAGCATTGATCTTAGATGTTTGACAAAGCACCCATTATCAAATAATTTGGACATGCCAAACAGTATAGTAGGAAATCAAATATAAGCAAGTTAACAGTAACAAACCCAACAGAAGTACAGCACTCTGCAGATTGTTTAAAGCAGTAAAATTGTACTTACAGCCCAGCAGGCTCAAAATACAGATTATACAGGATCTCAATGTGATATGTAAAACCCTGCTGAAAACTTAACAACTGTACCACGTCAGAAACTTGACCTAAGCTAATAGGCTAGCCATAATAAACATTAAACATTTTTATTAACAATAATATTGCTTGCCTTCTTAGAATTTAGAAGGGCTTTGGGGGATGATTTGGATGGCCCAGGTCTCTTAAAAAACGTGTCCCAGGAAGTTTGAACTGATGCCTTCTTTGTCTCTCGTTAATGTCCCTGTAGCAAGCAGAGGCATTCACAATCATTGCATTGCCTGTCAAAACTGGGCTCAACGCAGTGTTCACAATGTGTGGTGATGAGGATGAGGATGGTGTTTTCCCCACTCTAGAACATTCACAAGTCAAAAATGGATCTAGAGTCTCCCCCACTAAACCTTTCCTACAGATTTCCTTTATTCTAGGTGAGAAACATGAGGCCAACCTAGCTCATGCTTTTCCAAGCAGCTTTGGGAGTACCGAGCCATGGTAGCTCTGCCAGTTATGTCGGAGCATCATCTAAGCCTTAGTTCCCTCAATGTAAAATAAGGGCCATACTATTTCTATTCACTTTGTAGAGACGTTTTTTAACAACTACCATAGGCTCTACAGGGCACCATTATAGCACACCCACTACAGTAGTACAAGCATAACAACAAAGATTACACACTTCTCTTTCACTGTCTTGGGACCCTACTCTCTTACAGCCCAGAACAGGAACACTCAAGCAAACAATCCATGCACAGTATTTGTCTGTGCTCTGCCTCAGTGCTAATAACATTGACACAGGATTCCCAGAGGATTCAGCCTCCAAGACAACCAGCTGGTTATCAGCAAGGAAAGATACTCTCCGTTTAAAACACACACCCCCACACCCACCCCTATATAAGGGGTGCTAGTCCTCAGCTTGGCACAGCCCAGAATAAAGAGATCTGGCACCAAGCAATAAACACAGGGTTGGCACAAGACCATGGGGAAGTGTGTCAGTGTCAGTATTTCTCTGGGAATTTGATTTTCCTGAAATTTAGGTATAGACTCAATTTACATGTAGAAAGAAAACAGGTCCCAAGGGCAATGGAAAATTAATTGAATTTGGATTTGATCCTGCCATTAATTCCAAATAATTACTTAAGCTTTCTAAACTCAGTTTCCTCTTTAAACAGGACAGCCATTCTTTTCTTCTCTGGGTTACAAGTCTACAATGAACAATTATTAAATGTCCTTGGATACAGCAAAACGCAGGGCATTATCTGTAACTTGGAAATGGTCCGCTCTACACAGAAAAAGTGAAACTAGCAAAACTGAGGGAGTGGGATGGATGGCAGAAAAAACAACAAACATAAGCTCAAACACGAATATATAACGGGACTTAGTAAAGTGATTAAAAACTGCTTCAACATTTTCAACTGTTGAAGACCCCTTTAAATCTATCGGGACATCTTCACTGAAAGAAACCGAAATCTGCCTTCCTCCATAATGTCAACAGACCAATTTAACGGTCTTCCTCCAGAGTACTGAGAGAGCAGGTTTTGGTTTTGTTTTTGGCTTGACAGGGTTTCTTATAATCCAGGGTCAAGCTGGCCTAAACTTGCTATGCTTGGTGGATGACCTTGAACTTCTGATGCCCCCAGGATTAAGGCATGAACCAATGTGCAGTTTATGGAACCCAGAGTTTTGTGCATTCTGAGCAAGCATTCTGCCAACTGAGCCAAATCCACAGCCCCCAACAGAGCATTCTTCCAGTGAGCTAAAACGCTTTATTTTCTAAACACATGCTGTCTAATTCTCACACTCCAGCCTGAGGGGCTGCCTCTCTCCTGTTACTAACCCTGACTCTAGAATCCCCACAGCGGCAGAACTCTCACTGCCAACAGTTTTCCAGTCAACAAAATACAATGTCTTCCTGACTGTCCTGAACTCTTAAGTAAGGCAGGGAATACCGTCTTCTCTGCTTAGTTTGCTTAAGGCCATACATACCAGGTTTACAAGCCAAAAGACACTTAAAATTTGGTCTCTGTAACTAATCTACATTAAGACTAAAAATCTACTTCTACCCAAACTCTGCAACAGTGATAAAGGGGGGGCATAAGATCACCAACCACAAGACCCACAACTACTGGGGCTGCCCTGGACTACGCTGAAATGCCACCTTGAACAAAGAGTTCTGTTACAAAGCAGAATAAGCTTGGCCAATCTAGTGGGGGAAAAATAATCAAGAGACAAGTTTAAGGCTATAGTAACTATATATTTAAAAAAGGATTAAGAAAAAAACATGAAAAATTCTGCTGCATGATAACATCACAATTTCAGTCAGGGAAGCAAAGAGACTATGACCTTTAAAAGCTACTCAATGAAATAGAGTAGAATGACAGTTTTTAAGCCAATTATTCTTCTCAATCATTTCTCCCACTAGAAATATGAAAATGAGTATGACAACAACCCGTTCTCTAAATTCTCAATCACTTACCAAAGGCTCCAAGGTGCTGATATCTTTCAGTTTATTCCCGCTTAAATTTAGGTGGGTTAGACTAGGAAGTTCTTCTGCTAGTCTGTCCAGACCGCCAAAAATTCTATTATCACTGAGCTCAAGCTAAAAGGAAACACATGTACAGAGAATCGCTTACTACTGAATTGAGATAAAAAAGCAAACACTCATAACAAAGAATGAGGCAGACAGCACTGCATATATCTGCAACCCCACGATTCAGTAGAAGGCTAAGACAGGAGAATCCAAAGTTTCAGGCCAGCCTTGGCTACACAGCAAGATGTTTTCTCCTAACAAAAATAAACAGCAGCAAAATTACAAGGGCTGGTGAAGTGATTCCTCAGGCAAAGGCACTTGCTGCCAAGGCTGACAGATCAAGTTCAACCTTGGGACTCACCTGGTGGAGAGAACCGACTCCCCCAGAAGCCCTGTTTGTTAGAACATAAACATTATTTTATTTGGGCTGGAGAAATGGCTCAGCAGTTAAGAGCACTAGCTGCTCTTCCAGAGGCCCTGAGTTCAATTCCCAGTAACCACATGGTGGCTTATAATCATCTGTAATGAGATCTGGTGCCCTCTTCTGGCCAAAGGCAGACATAATTCTGTATACATAAAATCTTTAAAAAGAGAAAAAACACACAAATCCAGTAGCTGGAGAGATGGCTCAGTGGTTAAGAGCACTGACTGCTCTTTCCAGAGGACCTGGATTCAATTCCCAGCACCCACACGGCAGATCACAACCGTCTGTAACTCCAGTTCCAGGAGACCCATGGCAAAACACTAATGCACATGAAAAGAAAAGAGAAAGTTGTTTTAAAAAATCCAAATCAAGGGCTGGAGAGATGGCTCAGAGGTTAAGAGCACTGACTGCTCTTCCAGAGGTCCTGAGTTCAACTCCCAGCAACAACATGATGGCTCACAACCATCCGTTATGAGATCTGGTGCCCTCTTCTGGTGTGCAGATATACATGGAAGCAGAATGTTATATACATATTAAATAAATAAAATCTTAAAAAAAAAATCCAAATCAAGCTGGGCGTTGGTGGCACATGCCTTTAATCCCAGCACTCGGGAGACAGAGGCAGGTGGCAGGTGATCTCTGTGAGTTTGAGGCCAGCCTGGTCTCCAGAGCGACTGCCAGGATAGGATCCAAAGCAACAGAGAAATCCTGTCTCGAAAAACCAAAAAAAAAAAAAAAAAAAAAAAAAAAAAAAAAAAAAAAAAATCCAAATCAAGTAGTTTGTAGATGCCTGCAACATTTGGGATGAGTGAGGCAGACATTCCAGAAACCTTTTTAAAAAAGGTTTTATGTGTGCTTTTCAGAGCACATCACCTCACTTGCTCTACTGAGTGGTATACTCATCCTCCCATTTACAGTTAGGGAAATGAACTGCAAAAATGTGACTAGACCATGACCAAAGCTGCATGTGGACAGCCCATGTTGGCTCCACACGCTTGAGCTGCTAAAGAACTCATGCTCTAGCTACTGTGGTACATACATGCCTGGTGTGTTAAGTATGGAAACCACATGTGGCTGGGCATGGTAGTGACAGGAGCTTGGAACCCACTTATCCAGGAGGCTGAGGCAGCATGCCACTCTACGCAACTTAGAGACCTTGTTTTCTAAGTTTTAAAAGGGCACAAAAGACCTGGGAATATAGGTAGTGTGTATAGTAGTTGTCTAGGATTCATGAGATCCATGAGTTCAATTCCCAGTGCACAAGAAATACAGCCAAGAAACAACAACAACAACAAAAAAAAAAAAAAAGAAAAAGAAAAAAAAAAGAAAAAAGAAAAGAAAGAAAGAAAAGAAAACCAGCCAAATACCAACTTCATGAAATACAGGCTTTGTGATGTCATATACAGTAATGATTTAAAGAATACTAGTCTAGGAGGGCAGGTGAGAGATAGTTCTGTAAATAAAGGCACATGCCACAAGTCTGAAGACAGAGTTTTGAGTTTTTCTTTGATCTCCATATTAATGCTATGGTAAGTGCCCCACTCATCTCAGGTGAATTTTAAAAAGAAACAAAACAAAATCCCTGCTAGTCTATAATCAATAAAGATCAAGCCCTGGCTCTCAGTTTCTGGAAAACCATAACAGCAGAATGTTCCCTCCTGTATCTAGACCACGTGGCTAGACTATAACATCTTCCTACATTAAGAGACAGTAAGGGAATCCAAAGCCATTTATTAGCACAACATTCAAAAAAAAAAAATTTTTTTTTTTTTTTGGCTTTTCAAGACAGGGTTTCTCTGTGGCTTTGGAGGCTGTCCTGGAACTAGCTCTGTAGACCAGGCTCCCTGGTCTTGAACGCAGAGATCCGCCTGCCTCTGCCTCCCAATTGATGGGATAAAAGGCGTACACCAACAACACCCGGCTATATAACTAAGTTTTTAAAAATTTATTTATTATGTATACAGTATTCTGTCTGCATGTATCCTTGCAGGCCAGAAGAGGGCACCAGATCTCATGATAGATGGTTGTGAGCCACCATGCGGTTGCTGGGAATTGAACTTAGGACCTCTGGAAGAGCAGCCAGTGCTCTTAACCTCTGAGCCATCTCTCCAGCCCCTATGTAACCAATTTTTTTTTCTTATTAAGAGTCTGTGCAGCCAGGCGTTGGTGGTGCACACCTTTAATCCCAGCACTCAGGAGGCAGAGGCAGAGGCAGAGGCAGGTGGGTCTCTGAGTTGGAGGCCAGCTTGGTCTCCAGAGCAAGTACCAGGATAAGTACTTGATAAAACTACACAGAGAAACCCTGTCTTGAAATACTGGGGGGTGGGAAGGGATTAAGAAAGAAGCTTACACTATTGGCTGAGCAGTCCCTGGATGACACATCTTTCCAATGTCACTGACAACCCATACATGTGCCTTCTAAAATGTTTTTTTTTTTTTTTTAGGTTTATGTGTATGAGTGTTGTTTGAAGTATGTCTTTACCACATGTATGCAAGAATTTGTGAACACCCCCTTTTCTTCAACAATACAAAAGATCCTTATTTGACCCTAACACCACAGTTCTATGAGTGGCTTTGGGAAAATTGATGTTCCTTTCTGGGTCTGTGGCCACACCTACCAATAAACAGTAGGTACACAGGAACAAAGTTTCTTTCACCTCTTTGACAAATACAGAGACAAAAGAAAACCTTTAAGTGTTTTTTTTTGCCTTTCTGGAAGTTATTAGAAGGCTAGAGAGTTTGACTACAGGGGAAGTGAACTAACAATGGCCAAGATCAGAGAGAACTGTAGGGGGTTAGGGTTAGGGTGAGGGGGTGGGGGGGGGGTGGGGTGGGGGTGGGGGCTGGGGAGCCCACAGACATAGGAGACAGTAGCTCTGCCTGGCCTGGGACTCACAGTCCTTAACATGTTTTTGCCTCCTAAGAACTGAATTACAGCCGGGCGTTGGTGGCGCACGCCTTTAATCCCAGCACTCGGGAGGCAGAGGCAGGGGGATCTCTGAAAAGCCACAGAGAAACCCTGTCTCGAAAAACCAAACCAAACCAAAACAAACAAAAAAGAACTGAATTACAGGCAGATAGCACATAATCTGGCCTGTAGCAGGCTTTGTTACACAGGACTTTTCTAGTCAATCACAAACATTTCAAACTCTCTAGTTATTGAAAAATTACAAGGCAGGGCTAGAGATGATTGAGCAGTTAAGAGCACTTGCTGTCCTTGAAGAATTCGGGTTCGGCTTCCAGCACCCACAGGAACAGCTTACAAACTATAACTCCACCTCCACATCTGATGCCTCTGAACACATAAACACATGCAAACCCTTCACAGGGAAGACAGTCTTCACTTTCCTTTTCATCAACAGGTATGTGAAAGCTTGGAAAGAGGGAAGCTTTTTTGACCCCCGAGCCAGAGCCTAATAGCAAAATCTAGCTAATGGAAACAAAACTTCAGCAATTAACCGATTATTTATAAAGCAACTCATAATCCAACAAGTATTATTTCCAAAGCATTTGCTGCAATTCTGCAGGTCAAGTATAACTACAACAGGTGATGAGGCTGAACCACTTTAGAAAGGAAGAGAGCCCACAACCTCCCAGTGCCAGCGCCCACTAAAGCTGTGCTGCTTCTGCCACATAGAGCAAACCTATACATTTCTCCTTCTTGAAGGTTCTCTTTTACTTAAAAAATAAAGAAAAAACCTTTTTCCCAGCACTCAGGAGGCAGAGAAAAGTGGATCTCTGTGATTTTGAGGCCAGCCTGGTCTATATGCAAGTTCCAGGACAGCCTCAAACAAAGCAAAACAAACAACAAAAAGAAAACTTACCTTTTTCAATTTAGGTAGCTTGGGGAGATCTGAAACTGAAAATAAGCCTACACTTATTAAACTGAGGAACTCTAGGTTCACAAATTCATCTGTTAACCCCTCAATTTTTCCATCATTTGCTTTGCAGTTGTCCAAGACAAGTTCTCGAACCTGTGGGTACAAACAAAAAAAGGGAATAAGTTTTTAAAACCACACACAACAGGAGACAACAAAAGCAAAAACCCTAAACATGACTCCATAAAACACACTCAAGGACAGCCTCAAGAATAGGCTCAGGTACAATAAATAAAGCACGATTAGCCTTATAGTAGCAGCGTAGTTAAGACCCCAAAGCCCACTGCTAACTCACGCCACAAATAAATAAATGGTGTCGTGTGCTCCATATCCCAGAGGCACCACGGTTCTCAGAATGTAAGTGAAGCTATATCCCGTTCTTTCCACGGCTGTGACTCGAAGGGGCTTTGTCTAACTTCAAGTGAGGAGTGAAGAAACCCTCTTAGACTGCACCTTAAAGGGCAGGAAGGGCACCAGGGAGATGACCTCTCTACTTCACCATCAAGGCATCGAACACTTGATCTCAAGGAGCCTACTGCTCTGAAGCAGGGTTAACCGATATCACCACCACTCAGCTTCTGAATAGTTTCTCAGCTATGTTTTTGTGTTTTGTTTTGTCTTGTCTTTTGAAGACAATCTCTACATAGCCCTGGCTTCCCTAAAACTCACTATGTAAATCAGGCTGGCCCCAATCTGTCTGCTTCTCTGCCTCCTGAGTGCTAGGATTAATTAAAGGCATGCACCACTATGCCTGGATTTTCCTTTCCACACGCATGCACGCACATATCCTGGCTAAGGATATTTACACCGGCACATTTCCCAATTTCCGACCTTTTGTTTTATTTTAGACTGGGTCTCACTATGTAGCCCTGGTTGAGAAGAACTCACTATGGAGCCAAAGGTCTTCTAATTCAGAGATCTGACTGCCTCTGCCTCCTGAGTGTTGGTATAACAGATGTATATCACCATGCCCACCATTTCCTGTATAACAAGTTAAAATGCCATACAAAACAACACTAATATATCCAAGTAAGTGAGGAGTATGCCATTTAACTTCCCAGGTCAGGATAAAAATTACCTCCTGGGTAGTTCTTTCAATTGCCAAGATTCAACTTTAACCACTGTGAGGGGTCATGAGAAACTACCACTGGGAGTGGGAGACAAAAGGACAGCAACTCCATCACTGGGGAAGAGGCAAGTGCACTGTGAACTCAGAGTCAACATCGCCACTATACAAAGAAACACCGCCACAAGCAACACACATGTAGTTGAGAAAGCACTTGCAAATAGCAAAATGGAGTCTATCAAGAGGCAGCTGGGGGAAAGGGTTGTTAAAGTGGTTGACACCTGTAGGCCTGAGTTTGGGCTGGACATGGATGAGAGAGAGGTTTTAGGTTTTAGAAATGAGAACCTACAGGAACAGTTTTTTGAGGAGACTTATAGGCACACATCGGCCCAGGCAGCTGGATCTTTTTGAGTCCAGACCAGCCTGGTCTACAAAGGCAGTTCCAGGACAGGCTCCAAAGATACACAGAGAAACCTGTCTCAAAAAAAAAAAAAAAAAAAAAAAGGGAGCAGAGGGATGCTGGTAATGGCACACACCTTGAACCCAGTACTCAGGAGACAGAGGAAGGTGAATCTGAGTTTGAGGGTAGCCAGAGCTACACAGAGAGCTACAACCATCTTGAGAAACCAAGAAGTCGCAGAGAACTGATATTTGATTTCCACATGCAGGACACTTCCACACCACATACATAATATTTTTTTTAATTTAGAAAGAAATGAAAGGGGCTGGGAAGACACTGAACTTCAGGTAAAGGTGAAACAGACCCCTAACCTCATACTGAGAGGAACACAATGTGGGCTAAGTTCCAAAGTGAAAGGACAAGAAGTTCAGAAAGCACTCACCCTGACTTTTCCAGAAATGCTGAGAATGTTAAGGAAGTGTCTTACCCCCGGAGCTCCAGAGGCACAGCAGGATAAACCGCTAGACAGTGAGCCCAGAACAGGGTGTTGGAGTTGCCACATTAGGCCAAGCCATAGGGCTGTGCTCAGAGGAAGGTCTAAAAGTGCCACTGGCTAGCTCTCTTCAAGTCTGGGTCTGAGTGGTGGGTACAAGTCAGTCGTGCCAGGTTCTCAGGAAGTGGAGACCACAAGTTCAAGATCATCTCAGAAAAAGGAGTCAAGGCAAGGGAGGGAGAACATGCCTGTAATCTTATCAGGCAAGTGTGAGCTCAACAGACAGACTCTTGGAGATGACTCAGAGTTTAAGAGCACTTGCTGCTCCTCCAGAGGACTCCAGTTCAGTTTCCAGTACCCAAATCAGGTAGCTCAAAACTGCCTGCCAATTCCAGCTCCAGGGGATCTGACATCCTCTTCTGGCCTCTGCAGGGACTTTAATACATATGGCAGGCACGCAGACATACAAATACTAAATTAATTTCATAAGCAACCAGACATGGTGGCACATACTATTAATCCCAAGGCTTATTTAGAGTTCCAGGACATCCAGAGCTACATAGTTAAGACTCAGTCTCAAACAAACAACACGAACAAAACCCCTAGGGAGGGAAAGCAGGCCCCCAACCTGCACATAGATTGATGAATCCCATGGCCAAGACACAGCAAGGTAACCTGCTCAGAGATGCAAAATTTAATTTTGAAGGTCAAATTTATTTTTACGATCAGTCTCCAATTGAACTTGCTTCTTTCTCAAATGTGAATAAAGTAAATGTTTAAGGACAACTGAGGGGATGGTAGGGAAGGAGGGGAGGGAGAGGGAACTGGGATTGACATGTAAAACAATCTTGTTTCTAATTCAAATTTTAAAAAAAAGTACATCACAAAACTTAAAAAAAAAAAAAACTTGAAACCAAATGGCACAGTCCTCAGCCTTGTCCGACACTTTATGAGCAGATCAGGAGTTCCAAGGTCATCTTCATCTAGAATTTGATGTTAGCTGAGGATACAGGAGACTAGCTATTTAATTCTTATTTTTAGGGCAGAGTCTCACTGTGCCGCCCTGGAACCCAGAGATCTACCTGTCTCTACCCTTTGAAGTGTTGGGATTAAAGGCATGAGCCACCAGTTTTCCTTCAACTCTTACACTGAGTTCTCTAGTTACAAGGAATATCACTAAGTTTTTCCTTTCTTCCTTTCCAACCCTTTCTCAGTTCCATTCCTTCAGCTACTCTGGGAAATGTCCAATTTTACCTACAGTCAAGATCGGGCAATCTTGCCCAATTACATACTTGTCCCAGGAGAGGGGAAAGGAATAGAGAAATATTTTGAGTTATGGTGGTTTGAATAAACTGCCCCCACAGGCTGATGTCTTTGAATGCTTGAGAAATGTTAGGGGGTAGGGCCTTCCGAAGGAAGTGTCATTAGAAATGGGCTCTGAGGTTTCAGAAGTCCGTGCAAGGCCTAAGGCCTAGTGCTGGATTACAGCCCTGTGTCATTAAAGGACAATGGTTTGCTACTGCCTTGCCTGCTTCTCTCTCTGTAGTGTACTAAAATAAACTTGCTTTATGAAAAGAGTCCACCCTATAGAAAATACCCACAAACAGACTCAAACAAGGGAGAATAGACTCCCAAAGCTGTCCTCTGACCCCCACAGAAACTTACATTGGAACACACACAATTTTTTAATTTCAGAAATGAAGAAAAGAATGCTTGCAATGTGTCAACAGGGCAAGGGGGTAGACCTGGGTAGCAGTACTAATCCAGCATGCTGGGAGCCCTGAATTCAATCCCAAAACCACAATAAAATGACAAGGCAGAACACACCTTAAATCCCAGCACTAAGGAGACAGAACCCAAAGGATCTGAGTTCAGAGTTCCAGGACAGCCAGTGCTTCTTGAAGAAATCCTATCTCGGGTGGAGGTAGAGAGAGGGGAGAAAGACAAGGCTTCGAATGTAACACTGTTGGTAGAATCCTTGCTTAGTATGCGTAAACTTGGGTCTGATCCCTGGCACCCCTAAAATCCACAATAATGATGCAGAACTACGATCCCAGAATTTGAGAGGAGAAAAGAACAAGAAGTCATCTCCAGCTATAAAAACAAGATGAAGGTGGGCATGCTGGCACACACCTTTAGTCCCAAAACCCAGCAGAAGCAGGTTTTGAAACTCAATTTAAGGATAGCACACACAGCCAGGATGTCAGGGCTCAGCAGAAAAATGCTTGCTGCTGCTGCTGGGCGTTGGTGGCGCATGCCCTTAGTCCAAGCACTCAGGAGGCAGAGGCAGGAGGATCTCTGAGTTCAAGACCAGCCTGGTCTACAAAGAGCTAGTTCCAGGACAGTCTTCAAAGCCACAGAGAAACCATCTTGAAAACCACCCCCGCCCCAAAAAGAAAAAAATACTTGTTGCGAAGCCTAACAATCTGAGGTCCACACGAGGGAGAGAACCAATTCCCACAAGTACTTCACATGTACATACACCAAAAAGAGCATTAGAAACCCAAAGATAAACAATCGAATTCTGTTCTTCAATGATCACACTAGGCTCATATTCATAGTGGCAATCCTTCAGATGGCAGGGAAGTTGAGAAAGATACTCCACCCCAGAAGAGGAAATGCCTGTGTGTCCTAACAATTCTGAAAAGCAACTAGACAGTCACTAAGGCTCTTCTTTAAGGCTCTTCTTTAAGACAGTACATATTTTATAACACGATCCAAGTTGGGAAAAAAAATTAAGCAATTTTAAGCCACACACCAAATGTATGGAAAGGTTAAGTGTGTACTGCGTATTTTTATCGACCGTTTTTTTGGCATATCTGCATCTAATTTTCTTTAAAGATGTATTACTGTACAAAGAAAAACAACCCCAATTAGTTGCTATGCAACCAATTAGAATATCCCATAGAGCTTAGTAGTATATCACACTAAACAACAGATGCCAAAAGTTGGGGGTGGTGGCCACAGTAGGACAACACAAAAGGAAGATGTGTCTAAGGAAGTCTGCTTCCCCCAGTCAACTAGGTCTAAGATGAACTGATAACTGATGAACAGTCACATGCAGGGCACACACCGCGGTTTCAGGGGCAGAATTTTTTTGTTTTAAGCTCTAGTAAGAAGCTACTTGGTTTTCCAAC